TGTTGAAGTGATTGAGGTTGCTAAGATTTTAATACAATCGACTAAATGTCATGTTTATGTTGAACATGGTCAACTTAATGTTGATGAATAAGTTGGTATTGGAGTAGGAAAGTTGCTGTTACATCCATAGGGATTGGGAAGTGATGCTAATGATGATGAGTTATTAGTTGGGAATAATAAAGTGACAAATTTGATGGGTGACGTGAATAGCACTGACACTTTAAGCCATGGTAGGAAACCAAATGATAAAGGGAAAGAAAAGGTGACTAAGGCATGGAGGTGTTACAGCATCATCAAGCTCAAAAGGAATTATAATTAAAGAACCTGTCGTTGATTTTGAAGGCTCTCGACTAGTGGACACTCAGACATTGAATATAGTGATATAAAGTACGGTAGCAATAGTACTTATATTGATAGTGATGATGCTGGAAGTTACTACAGTGATAGTTCCATAAAAGACCTAAATGTGAAGGATAATGCATTGAGAAGGGCGAGTAGTTCCTTGCATTATGAACCTAACTATGACTATCCACACTTTGAGGTAGGAATGGCATTTGAGAATGTAGTTCAATTCAAGGAAGTCGTTGTCAAATACTTAATAAAAAAGGGATGCAAACTTCATTGGAAAAAGAATGAGCCAGGTAGGCAAAGAATTGCATGTGATATTAATCATGGGTGTTCTTGGGAAATTTATGCAAGATTTGATAATTCTGATGATACTTTCAAGGTGAAGACATATTATGGAACTCATTCATGCTTTAAAACAAATAGGAACAAAATGGTGACTGAGCCATTCTTAGTTGATGCCTTGCGGACAATAATTACCAACTCCCCTAGAATGAGTAGTAGGTAGCTTGTTGACTGTGTCAAGGCAAAATTGAATTTTGAAGTTTCAAAATATAATTGTCAGAGGGCTAAAGGATAATTAAGAATGAGCTAGAAGGTAGTTACATTGAGAATTACAAGTATCCTAGAGGTTATGGGGAGCATATGCTAGCGACTAATCTCGGCTCAAGTCGTATTATTGGAATAGAGGATTCTATTGCAACAACACCTTACCAATTTAAAAGGATGTACTTTTTCTTTGATGGATACAAGAGGGGTTGGAAAGCTAGTTGTAAGCGCATTATTGGTTTAGATGGCAATTTCTTGAAAAGGGTTTGCAAAGGCATTTTGTTGTCAGCTATTTGGAGAGATGGGAATAATCAAATGTTTCCAGTGGCATTGGCAATTGTAGATACTGAAGATAACGACAACTGGAAGTGGTTCATAGAATTGTTAAATATTGACCTTGAGTGTGGAGATGGAACAAGAATGACTTTTATAAGTGATATGCATAGGGTAAAAATAAATTTATTCCTTTTTGAACATTTTTTTTGTTTTGTTTTATTTGCTAGCTTCCTTTTTGACTTGTTATTTCACTATCATGCATTTAATTTTACATGTTTTTCCTTTAGTTATTTCAATTAGTGCCTTTCACCTGTACAAATTATTCTAAACGTGCATCTTTTTTTTGTTTTTCTTGTGTGGGTGTTAATGACTTTAATTTATATATTATTTTATTCCTTGTTAAACTTATATTTGTGTTGGATTGCATTATTTTATTTTATTTTTTTGTTAATGCCTTTGTTTATGGGACATGTAATGCCTTTATTTTTAGTTTATTTTATTTGTAGGGCATTTTATCTGCAAGGGAGGAGGTGCTTCCAGGGGCAAAGCATAGGTACTATGCTAGGCATATATATGCTAATTGGGCAAAGGATTATAGGGGAGAAGAATACAAAAAGAAATTTTGGATCATTGCAAGATCTAGTTGGCAAGCAAAATTTGATCATAATATGAATGAGCTTAAGAAATTAAATGAGCAGGCCTGGACAGATTTGCAAAGGATACCTCTTGAGTATTGGTGTAGGGCATTTTTCACTGAAGATGCTTATTGTGATGTTGTAGACAACAACATGCGTGAGTCCTTTAATTTTTGGATTATGGATGTAAGGTATAAGGCTATTATCAGTTTAGCTGATACTTTGAGGGAGTAAGTCATGTAAAGGATTGCTAACAAGAGAGAATCCATAAGAGGCTGAAATGGAGACATTACCCCGAGGGCTAGGGATATATTAGAAGAAAATAAGAATGAGTCATCATAATGCAAGTTGCTTTGGGATGGAAAAACTAGTTTTAAAGTCAAACAAAGAAATGATAGACATGCTGTTGATCTTCAAAGAAGGACATGCACTTGTAGAGTTTGGAAAATGAATGGAATTCCATGCCCACATGCCATATGTTGCATGTATCATGAAAATTTAGCTCCTGAGAACTATGTAGCTGATTGGTACAGAAGGGAAAAGTATGCGTTGTTGTATGGATTCCCTCTTAAGGCAATGTGTGGTGACAAGTCTTGGATGAAATTCCATGGAGAACCTGTT